TGCCAATGTCACAATTACGAACTCTTCTTTTTATCCTCAGGCTACTCGTTATACGATGCCGCACAGTTTTGTAGATAACAGATCAATGGGAGCAAGAAGTTCAAAATCTTTCATATTAGAAGGACGACTGGCATCGATTTTAAAAGTGCTTGCACCAGGTGATTACTTATTAATTCAATTTGGTGACAACGATGCCACTGCAATTCGTCCAATCGTTATGTTCCTGTCGCCAAGTTTTCTTACTACATTGAGCAATATATTAAGAGTGCTTTAGCAAGAAAGGCGCATCCGATTTTAATTCCCCACCCGCACAATTCAAGTTTGATTCACAAAAGCAGCAGTTCATAACTACTTTCGATGGTTACCGGGATGTAGTAAGAGACCTTGGAGCAAAATACCAAATTCCGGTAATTGATTTGGGGAACAAAATGACTGATTACTAATAATTATGGCTATCAGGCAGCTCATTCATTTTATCTTCAAGTAAATCAAGATGATTATCCTAATTTGACCGAAGATAAGCATGATATTACGCACTTTCAACATTATGGTGCCTTTAGAATAGCTCAAATAATTGCTTCTGAACTAAGTTTTATAACGAAATCAAACGATTTTGTAAAGCGAAGATTTGGTCAGGATTATAGACCTGTAATTGATCAAAAGTTGCAAAAAATTTATTTAAAATGGCCGATTGTTAAAAATGCTGATTTTTATGTAATTGAAACTAGAACAGATCAAGATTGGGTATATAACTCTGTAACTACGAAAAACGAATCATATGTCGGTCCAATAGCAACTGATAAAAAGCAAAGACAAGACTTTAAGATAATAGCATTTGATGACTTAGGTTCTTCAATTGAAGAAAAAGTAATCTCAATCGTTTGCTAAATAAGATCCAAGATTATTTCAAGTAACAATTTTTGGGAGCAAAAATGAAATTAGAAAAATATGCTGATGGTTATCTGTTAAAAAATGCCCAACTTGAACTTTGGTTAAATAAAGCCGGACATGCCGATAAGTTATTGTATAAAGGTCAAAACTTAATCGGTAATTTAGCTGGAAATGTTATTGACCCAGATCGTCAGCACTCATTCTACTTGGATTATCATCAAGATTTAAAGTCTACACATCCGCAATATACCGAATTCAAAGTCTTACGCAATGATGATCATTTTATTCACCTAGCTTGGATAGATAACAAGAGCGCGTTGAATCTTGAGTATCACATAATTATTAATTCAAGTGATAGCAAAATCTACTCCTATGTCATAGCTAGAAATAGAACTAAAGAAACCTATCAGATTAATGAGTTGCGAACCGTTTATCGGCTAGACAAAAGTATTTTTCCCTTTAGCAAAACCGCAGCACGCCAGGGACTCCAACCAGCTAGTGATTACACTAATCAATTTAAAAAATGGCAGGATGAGACTTATGAAATGCCTGATGGGGAAAGATTTACGAATAGCAAAGTTTATTCCAAATATGATTATGCAGATTACTTCAAAGACAATAATTTTTGGGGCTTCTTCGGTTACAAGTTAGGTTTTTGGTTTGTTCCTGCATTCAAAGATTATTATCCCTCGGGTCCATTAAAACAGGAGCTAATGGTCCATTATGACGGCATTTTATTAAATTATCTAAACGGTGCGCATTTTGGAACAGGTGATTTCACGATAAAACCTGGATGGCAAAAGTGTTACGGACCATGGGCAATTTATATTAATGAAGGCAAAAATTATTCTGATTTGCTTAATGATGCCGAGACCTTTGCTCAAAAAGAACGTAAAGCCTGGCCCTATAAGTGGATGGAAGAAGATTTATACCCACAAGAAGTTGCTGTTGTCCACGGCAAAATATTATTTCCTGAAAAATATAAGTTAACTGTTGTTTTAAGCCAGGGAAAAGAGAATTTTGCTAAAGCATCGGCAGGGTACATTTATTACGCGGATACAGACGAAAATGGTTTGTTTAAATTAAAAAATGTTCGTAGAGGTGAATATAAATTAACTATTTATAGTCGTGAGGGCGATATTCCAGGAGAGTTTGTTGTTAAACATATAAAAGTTGAGCCAGAAAAAATTAATGAACTAGATTTAGGACTAATTGAATTAGAGAGAATTTAGGTAAGACCATTTGGCAAATTGGAACAGCTTCACATACAACTGAGCCGTTTAAGTTAGTAATATGTTGCGCAATAGTATTTGGCGAATTTTAGTGCCAGCAAACTTAGATTATTGCATTAATCATTATGATGCTGAACAAGATTGGTTTGCTATTCAAAGCAATAAGGGCGAATGGCGCATACACTTTAATCTGGCATTATCAAAAACAGCTCATTATAAATTATTGATAGCATTAGCAGGTGCAAGTAAGACCAGTGCTATTGATGAAAATGATAGAGGTCATGGCGATCCTTTCATTGAAATTAAGATAAATGGCAATAGTTTGACTAAGAATATTGTTAGATGATAACGCTGTTTATCGCAATGCTTAAAAAATGGACATATCACTTAATTAAATGTGACGTTGATAATGAAGCTTTAAGAAAAAAAGAAAACGTTATTGCGATTAAAACTAATGGTTATCTAATGTACGATACGATACTGCTAACTAGGTATTAGCATAAGCAAAACCGCTTTATGGGTAAAGCTTCTTTGCTTTTAAAGTAAGCGCTTACTTAGATTTAGTGCTGCTAAGTAATAACTAACTAGAAATAAAAAATGGATAAAACGCAAGATAAAGGGAGGTGTAGATAGACTATTTTTAAAACCAAAATATTAAATATGTGGTTAACGAATAGAGGTTAAATTGTGATGAGTGAGAATAATAATTCACAAAAACCAGCTGAAAAAGCGGCTGGTTTGAAGAGTGTTCAGGTTAAAGCCAGACCTTTTGGCTGGCGCGATAATATTGGTTATATGACTGGAGATTTAGGAAACTGTTTTATTCTTGGTTTGGTAAATAGTTTCTTAATGATTTATTTAACAAATTCGGTCGGATTAGCAGGTGCAATTGTCGGCACAATGTTTTTAGTCGGTAAGTTTATTGACGCATTTTCTGACGTTACTATTGGCCGTTTGACGGATACTTCCAAGTTGACTAAAGACGGAAGATTCATTCCTTGGATAAAGAAATATCGCTGGTTCTTCGGGATTGCTACAGTATTGTTGTTTGTACCGTTTGTTCGGACATTGCCGATGGTATGGAGAATTGTTTGGATTTTCGTTTTTTATGTAGCATGGGGAATCTTCTTTCCTGTGTAAACATTCCATATGGCTCACTAGCTTCAGCGATTAGTGGTGATCCAGACGATAGAGCCCAGCTGTCCACTTTTAGAAGCATCGGTTCTGCTATTGGGGGTGCTGGTACAGGATTTGTCATTCCAATGGTTGTATACGTTACGATTTCTAATGGTCAAAAAGTTGTTTCTGGTTGGCGATTTTTCCTAACTTCGATTGTTTGCGTAATTCTAGCTTGGATTAGTTACCACTTTACTGTAACTATGCCAACTGAGCGAGTTCAGGTTGCTAAAGCGGAAAAAGTTCCGTTAAGCAAAGTGCTTGAATCTTTAGGCAAAAATAAAGCTTTACTTGCACTGATTTTTACGGATTTATTTATTGTCATTAACCAGATTTTATCTGGTACGACTACTACCTATTTATTTAATGATTATTTCCATAATAGTCAAGCAATGTCGGTTGCGCTGTTATTTACCTATGGTTCCGTAATTCTACTTTCACCGTTTGCAACATGGATGATTAAGCATTGGGGCAAAAAGGAAGTTTCGATTATTTCTCTTTCTTTCTCGGTAATCATGTATTTATTGATGTACTTTATGTCATTTTACCAATCCATGGTTGTATTTAATCTTCAATGTTTTTAGCAACTGTAGGTTATTCATTTTTCAATCTAATGGTTTGGGCTTTTTATTACTGATGTAATTGATTATCACCAGTATGTGACTG